CTTTTAAAAGTTAGGTGTACCTGGGAGCTCCTTTGACGGTAATGAAACATCCATGGACACTATAGGCACTAGGTAGGATAAGAAGCTCAGTTCTTGGTTCTTCAAGAATGAAGGCCATCAACAAGTCTGAACACCCATTGATAAACAGGAGTGGGGATCCTCCATTTTCAACTCATAGATCATCAGATTTGATGCATCTCAAATATATGTAAGAAGCCTCAGTCAGTCTGTGCTGTGCTGCAATAAAAAATTGGAAAAATTACTGAGTAAAACAGAAATCCCAGGATAACCTTGCAAGTCAGAATCAGGAAGTTAACAACTGGGGCTGTTACCACTTTAAGTCTCTTAGGAAATTTACTATAGAAAATTGTATGTTTTGAGATTGTAAGCAGTACAGCCTGTTCACTATTTTCATTCTGATTCATAGAAAATGATAAAGCATTCTTTCTATAGAAAAAGTAGATGGTTGGTTTTTCTTTGTGGTTAAATTATCAGAGACATCAGTGTATGTTTGTAGAGTGAATGAAATAGCTTATGCAATCAAGCTATTTCACTAAGCTGTTAATGTCATGGTGTGTTTTCATACATCAGAAAATCTTCCTCTTCTCAAAACTACACCAGTTACCTTAAAATCTGTCATGATTAAGAAATTAGACACCCTTTTCTTCAGCATGAGGCAAGTGCACAGAAATGGCTAATCAGTTAGGGTTAATTCTGGATGTGCCACTGCACGCTCCTTTATGCAGTTTTTCTGTTTGGCAAAGGGTATTATTCTCACATATAAGAATCACCCAACTGTAAGACCAGCTTAAGAGTTGTAAGACCAGCTGTAATACCAAAACGGCAGGGGTGACTGTTCCCTTTCTCATGTTATGTAAGGACTGGAAAGCATTGTGCTTAAGTGAAAGAGCAGGGCTTTAGAGGTAAAAGTGTGTGTTTTATTCTTAAAGGCTGCTTCCCACTGGCAAATATGTCGAGACAATTAAATTATTTGGCTGCAGTCAGTCACCTATCCCTGCTCTAGTAAAAAAGCATTTCAACCATCAGATAGAAGCTGCAGGAAATATTTATGTTCTCTCAAAATTCCAGCATGGCACAAAGTGAGTGATAGTCAGGAGACCAATGAAAGGTGCAGTATATAATGAAATAGAACATGGTGATGATCTCAAAGACATGCATGGAGAGCCTTGGGAATTTGGCCAAGTCCCCCCACACCCACTTTACAAAATCACAACAATATTCCTGCTTAACACTGGCTTATGAGTCATGCCTGCTTGGTCTTTGGACAGATTTTTCTGGGCAGAAGCTCAGCATCAAGGCTAAAATTGCAATATCACATTAAGATATCTCTGTGATATAGCAGGTCACACAGATATGCAGAGAGGTAAAGTGCATCACAGGAATAACGTATGTTTTACTCTGTTGCTATAAGTCTAATAACATGATCAAGTATGTATGGATATTTTGGAAAATGAAGAGGAAAACTATATCCCTATATTCTATCTAGCAATCCTTCAAACTTCTCAAGTACATTCATTTCCTAAAGAAATCAATAACTTAAATGAACAATTGTTGTCCTGGAATCACAGACATTGGCTACACACAAAGAATATGTAATGTTCCCCATTGGATCAAATGTATTCAAGCCAGAAGTTGGTAATATGAAGATTAAACTAATATCATGATTGAGTTGTATCAAGATGGTCATTATGTCTGGTGGTTTTTCCATGGTGACATAGAACAGCAATAACACATAATGATTTATCATATCACTAGCTGTTCTTCATTACCTCTTGTTCAGAATGGTAGATGTATGCATGATTTTATGGAACAGCTAAGTATTTCCTCTCTCTAAGGCCTTTTTATTTCCTGTGGTACCCTACGGGAGTATGGACCTGTTTCTATGACACTCAGTTCTATATTATATCAAAAAGCCCAGCAAATATGATTCTGAAAAAGTGAATGTTAATAGACAACTTTGAACAAGAATTATAATCTCTGGGTTTAATCCCAGGGGAATTCTTATCCCTAGGTTTAATCCCAGGATAAGGATAAATTAATCTGTTTTAGTTTCTATATGATCTAATTTTTCAAGCAGAAATTATTTGAACCCTGTTTTCACAACAGTGTTAAAATTAAAAAAAAAACTGCTTGAAAAATCCACAGAATTTTTATATCTATGAAAAATCATATACATTTCTATAGGCCTTTTTGAAAAATACATGCATTTAAAAATATTTTTAATAAATTGATGTCTTTCTGTATGCTGTTTCCATTTTGTATGTGTCTAGGGTTTTCTTGTATAGGTAGAAAATCTTAGTTATCCTATTTTATAATCTTAGGTATTAATTGTCAGATAGAATGAATATTTTTAGGTCAGTCAGTTTTGTCAATTTAATTTACTAAATCTCTAATGTTTTGGGAAAGAAATCTTAACCACATCTGTGATATAATTATTACTTATAGCTTTTTTTACATGCAAGGGCTTCCTATTCATTTTATTGGAGGGAAAAGTTTCATAAGTACTACAACATAATTAAAAAAACATGTGGGAGATCTATGACTACATGTGGAATGGATTGTCAGAAAAAAAGAACTAAAATTGTAACAGATTGGTTTCATAGATTATAATAGTCATACTTCACATGGAATTTATTAAAATATTTGTTTAGTGAATGTTTATCATATATTAAGAAAGTAGCTGGTTAATATTCAATAACAAAATTCACAGAGGTTAAGTTTATAGAACAAATTTACCAAGCAAATTAATTTCAGCCTCATTTGACAGTAATATAAAGTCAGTTTAAGATCTTAAATTATTTCTCTTAATAGAAGTCTATGGAATCTCTTGGCCTTTCTCCATTCTTCAACATTACTTCTGACAGCAGCCAATTTTAGTGAAGAAATATTAATACACATAAAAGTCAGCCTAAACCTTAGCAATAGCTTTCAGTTAATCCTAGATTTTGTCCATAGACAGCACGGAGGAAACAAGTCTTCATGTTCTCAAGATGGAATGCTAGATTACATGGAATATTAGCCCTGCAAAATATTAAATGCAGACCCTTTTAATTTCATAATATTGTGCAAAGTTATCATGGCTGAATACATTTTGGAAATATTGCAGAAATTAGAATAATCAGAATCAGACAATCGTGCTAGAAATGTGGTTAGTAATGCATGTTTTTGACTGATATCATATG